TCTGGATGTGAACCAGCAGCAGCAGCATTAGGCCATTTCAAAGCGGAGTGAATGTGATTTTCACACCTATTCTTTTTCAATTTAGGTCCATTTGAAGCCCAAGCACCTCTCTATTACTAATTTGTTATGGCAATATTAATTAATGGTTTTGCTCTACAGCACTAAGAATGCTGTTTAGACTGAGCGAGATAGATTAGAAGGACTACAAGATTAGAAAAACAATCTGTAGACTGGTCAGATGCAGTTGGGGGTCACCTTGATCTCCTGAAATGAGCACACTGCACTTGGAATGCCTGGGAGTGTGTGGATGTATTTCTACCAGCGCAGACTCATTAAGGCTGGTTAAGTCAGCACCCTTTGCTGTTGTATCCTATTTTGGAATATAAGAGCATTAGCTCCCAGGTGGGGAGAGACAATTATCAGACTTCCATAAAAGCTGATAAATGAAGAAATTGCATATTGTTTGACATTTGACAGTAAGAGTTCAGACCAAGTGTGTTAGGAAACAAGGAGCAATATTTAATGACTCAGAGAAGGCACACAGTGATGCGTTGTAATTTCCATTCTCCTGACTCACTTTACCTCTGCCATTAGTTTAGCAGATCTTCAGGTTCCTATCTTGGCTACTCTGATCAACATGGTGTGCCCAGACTCAAAACCATCAATAGTATTTGTCTTGCACTTCAATGGCATAACACAGATAAGACGTTTGGTTTGAGCAAGAACAGTGGCTGACAGATTGATGGACAAATCTTGTGACAATTTCAGCTGGTTCTTGGATTATCTCAGCGACCTTCTACTCGCCCTATACACCAACAACAGCTCAGGACCCCAGCCATCATTGTACCTATATGAGAATCACAGAAGTGGGTCAAAGCACGGTTGACAGTGGTAAAGAAGATAAAAACTCAATTATTTTGGCTTTAAATTGTGAGATCAAAAATTTTTCCTGGTGTAAAGTGTGAATGCTTTTATTTATTTTTTGGATATAATTTTGCAGTCAGCCCAAACATATTGTGGAACTATCACAGGGAAGAAAATCAGTGGCACAGTGATATTCTTTTGAGAAAGCACTGGTATTGTAAAATGCTCACAATTTCATGGTGGGTTTTCAGCATTGGCAGGTGAGGGGCAGGAGAGGCAGCTGAAGAATCAAGTTGGACTGCAGCTGCCCCAGGGAATCCATCTATTTCTGTCTGTCCTGGTTTTGGCTGGAATAAAGTTAATTTTCTCCCTAGTAGCTGGTACAGTGCTGTGGTTTGGATTTAGAATGGGAGTAACATTGATAACATGCTGATGTTTTAGTTGTTGCTAAGCAGTGCTTATACTAAGCCAAGGACTTTTCAGCTTCTCATCCTGCCCTGACAGCAGAGTCTGGGAGTGGACAAGAAGCTGGGAGAGGACACAGCAAGGACAGCTGATCTAAAGAGCCAAAGGGGTATAAAGGGGTTTTCCATACCATGTGACGTCATGTCCGGTATATAAACAGGGAAGAGTTGGCCAGGGGACACTGGCCTGGGGGACTGGCTAGGGGTCAGTCAGCAAGTGATGAGCAATTGTGTTGTGCATTGCTTGTTTTGTATATTCTTTTATTATTTTTTTCCCCTTCCTTTTCTGTCCTATTGAACTGTCTATCTCAAGCCACGAGTTTTACTTTTCTGATTCTCTCCGCAACACACTGGGTGGGGGTGGGGGGAGTGAACGAATAGCTGTGTGGTGCTTAATTGCCGGCTGGGGTTAAACTATGACACTGGCTTTGCTATTCCTGCATTTCTTTGTTTTGCTTGAATCAGAAGAGATCAAGGTGGCAGGATGTTACATCTATGCTCTGCATTTCCCAGTGGTTCAGGAAGCCTCCAGTGTAGGCAGCACCTCTCAGGACATACTAGAGGATATGATGCCCTTTTTGACATTTTACATTGCATCTCCCTTGGTCAGCAGGAAAAGTGGCTGTCAGTGTGAGGGGCATGCCTGAGGCCCTGGCAGAGGGATGCCAGGTCCCGTGGGAGCCCTAGATGAGCAAGGCAGAAATGTCAATGGTTGGGAGGCCCAGCTCAAGAACATCTGAGCTTTTTCAACACTTTCTTGGACACTGTGAAATCATAAGGTCAGAAGAATAGGACTACCAGTATTACAAGATTTTTGGCTTTTCCTGTTTCCAGTCAGGCTGTAATCAGGAAAAGATAAATTCTGGCCTCCTAACACCACTTATAACAGCAAGTGGAACAGGAACAGGACATGTAAAGTTGAAATACTCTTTATAAAGGGCAACCAAAGAGATAAACGTACTCCTGGATTCTACAAAATAATAAGAATACAAGTGAAACTGTTACAGCTGATCTTCTTTGCCTGTCCTTGCTATCAATGAGTTAGCTACCTGATATCCGAACAACTACGATGAAGCACATGGAAAGAGCGAATGATTGAATACGACAATAGTTACTCTTTATTCTGTGAGGAAACCGATACCCTCTAATATTTCAAATTCTACCCCTAAGCAGTTTGAGTTTCAGGGTGCCTTCCTGCTTTAAACCACTTTCGGACACAAACCAAACTGAGACTACTAAGTAGGAATAGCTTTGAAAACTTGGCTTGAAATGTATCTTTGAAAATGTGGTTTGCAGAAGATTAGGGAGAGAAGTAGGAGCTGAAACAACTTTTGGACAGCTAGCTCTGTCCACAGCTCAATGAGAACTACCTTCTCTCCAGTACAGTTACCACTGCTTCGACTGACCAAACAGCGAGATGGGCTGACTGAAGCAGTGAATAAAGACAGTCACTTGATGGGATACTGCATAACTACGAGAACAAGTAAAGATGCTTCCGGATTTAATGCTTAAGCTATAGGATTTAATGCTTAAGCTATAGCACAGCTGAAGTCAGTGGAAATATGTCTGCTAGTTTCAGTGGAAGCTGGGTTATGGCAAGAAAGCAACAAAAACTCGGGTTTTGTGGCATGGCTGCTGTCTATTGATGCGAGCAGCTAGTAAGGAGGTCAACAGAAATCAGTGTTGAGGCTTGTCTCAATTAATGTGCTGAATGCTGGCATTAAAAATGCTTAAGTAATCTTTTAGTTGGACAATACATAACTACTCAAAAAATACTGACAGAGAAAGTTCAGTGACACCTTTTCACTGACATTTACACTTCCAGAACAGTGAGGAGGAGACGATAAAGAGGGCAGAAGTCTACAGAAAGGAGAAAAGGCCATAAAAAAGGGAATATACACTGAAGAATATGTCATGAAGTGAATAACTGGGGACCCAGGTAAAATGTAATATTCAGGTAGAAGATGATCGTGAAGCCAAGCAACCAGGGAATATTTCAGAGAGATCAGGAACTGAGGCAATGATACTTGTGGTGCAGTTTCAGAACATGACAAACTATCAGTCAATGAATGCATGGTATTTACCTGCCGACCCACCCAGCAAAGTTCACTCAAGGCAGCAAAGCAGTCAGCGAGATAGGACTAGAGATTCCTCTTTATATCCAAGTGCTAGGTTTCCGTGGGGAAGGATAGACATGTTCATCAAAACAAACTACTTTTTACCAGAATTAATTTGGGCAGGAAAGAGCATAGATTTCTCATTTAAAACTACCCGTACTTTAGAAGAGCACTGGGAGGATGGAACAGCCAGGTTGGCCAAGGCTTTCAATGCACCTGCAAAGCACTCTGTGAAGATCACTGCTAGTATTAAATTATGTTGTTATCCCACGGGTTCATGGAGTTTACAAACCACAGTTAAAAGCAAGAGGTGGAGGATTATGATGTATTTTAGAATTTCTTACGTTTCTTATGTTTCCTTTTTGGAAACATAGGAAGGAAACTTCTGGGTCACCAAATATAATTCCTGGGTCCTGCAGGCAATTATGTCACCTAAAGGATTCACCTCCTATCAAACTCCTTGAACATTTAATGAACATCTTTACTAATGTTAATGAGAATTGCTGCTAATAATTTCCATTTACACACTACTTAAGGATCTTGAAGTATTCTTTCATATAATATGCTCATTTTTATTACAGGCATATTGGATTTAAACGACTTGCCTAGGGTCTCACAGCAAGCCAGCAGCAGAATGACTCTTCGTGCTCCCAGTGCTTTGCATTAAATCCTGAACATTAACAGCTCCCTTCATAAAGGGAGCTTTGTAGTGGTAGATCACCTCCTGGTGCTGGTGGATCAAACCTTTTATCATAGCGCAAACAAAACAAGAAATACCCATGTAATGCTTCCCAATGTCTGCAAATCCTGGCTTCCTTTGAACTTAGAAAATTGACAAAAGTCCAAGTAATGCTAAGATAGCCTTTGGCATATGACCAACTATGAAATTTTGATGTGTTAAGTATGTACCTCAGATCTCTATTTTCTGTATGAATACAGCAGTAATCTCTCCATTTGTTCCAGGAAACTTCAGAGCTTTCGCTATGTCCTGTGCTGTTGGAGGCATATTTGGAAGTAAAACAAAACAACCCAAAAAGTAAGTCTACAATAAACAAAAATCCTTAACTTTTCTAGTGGCAGTCTTAGAGAGTTTGCTCTGACAAAAGCACATTCCTTGACATTGCTGTCTCCTCTAAATGGCACTGTCCTCATCAAAAATTAACTCTGAAAGGAGGATATAGGGCATCCCTTCATTTATGGGTTCCTTTCTGTCAAGAAAGATGCAATACCAGAGAATGGCCTAATTTTTCTTTCTGTGTCAATGTTATTCTCTGTAGCAAATTGAAATCTTGGTATTTCCCTCAACATTTTGCCCTCTCATTTATGCCTCCTACGGAGAGGTCCACAAATGGTACCCAGTGGTTTAAGGATACGATTTTCAAGCTTTTGCCTGTGGCATCTGGCTCTTTCAACTAGAAAAGAGCTATTTTGTGGCATGGCACTTGTTATAACATCAGAGGAACTGTCTGGTGGAACAACAACTGCTACAGCAATACTGATCCCATTCATCGAAAGAGTTCCTCCAACGTGGTGGTAGCTACCCAGGAGCTCTCACCTGTGGCAAATGGTGACATTTACTCCTGCTGGGAATGTGGCTGGGCAGCCGAATGTTAAAGAGGGCCTGCAGGGCTGCCTGCGCTGCTTGACCCTTGGCCAGCTTCTTGCTACGTCCTGAGCCTTCAAATGTTCTCCCGTCCACTCTCACCGCCATCACAAAACTCTTGATGTGCTGCTTCTCCACCGTTTCCGACAGGCAGACGTACCGCAGGCCCGATCGCAGCTCATTTAGCAGCACCACTGGATTCTTCTCGCTCTCTGCTTTGGATGCCATCTTGTGCTTGTTTTGCTTACTGTGGCCCATTAAGTCCAGCGTATGGCAGAGCAAGCGCCCGTGTCGATAAGCAGTAGAAAGCAATTCGTTATTAACGGGGTTATAGACGGAAAAGTCCTCGTTGTGTGTAGATGGTTCAAACTCCTTGAACAGAGTGTCTGGAAAGTCTGCCTGATCAGAAGTAAAGTCCGTGGATGGGTTGATGCAGTTCCCCATGGCAAAGTGAGCTTGGCAGGCATTGGGGAACTGAACAAATGACTTCAGAGCTAGCTCTGCAGCACGCATTTTAGCTTTCTTTTTTGTGGGCCCTGTGCCTTCAAATGTAAGTCCATTTACTTCCACAGCAACAGCAAAGACTGGAGCATGCACGGGACCTGTCTGGGAAACCATTTTGTATTGTAAACCTGGTTTAAGTTCATGTAGCTGAACCAGAGCGTTCTTTGGCGTCACTGACCACGAAACTTTCTTCCAGATGAGCTGGAGTTTGCAGAAATGGCCATTATTGCCTTCCTCTAAGGGTCTTTTTCTCTTACTGCTAGGTGTTCCCCCTCTTGCCCTCTCATTAGAGGATATTGGATGATCCTCCAGGTTGCCAACGTTTCGGTTTTCCTTTACTTCTGCACTGCTGGTACCTGTCAGTAAAGAAAGGAAAAACCTCACATTACAGTTGTCATCATAGTAGCTGACATTATGCCTAAGGCTGGCAGAATAGCTAAAAAAGAAAAAGAAAGTTAATGATAGATATCCTTGCTCAGCTCCTTTTGGGGCTTTTCCTCAAGTATCTGTATAATGATTGGTTTATTATTTATAGCACAGATTCTCTGCATGTTCTGTTTACTCGTCCCTAAAGTTCTACATGTATTAGTCACTAGCCTCCTGTTCTAAAAAAAAGATTACATCATTCAAAGATGAAGCATAACTGACGCCATGTGACTTAAATGAACTACTGCATTCACACTGGATAATTACTAGTAAAAAGTGAATAGTTTGCAAAGTTCCCTTAGGCTGAGATTTGTTCTATAATCCATACGAATGAATACTTATGAACACATTATTAGAAATCAGAAATGATTCACAAATGATTCACAAAGAGAAAAACGGGCAAATGCATTGAATAATCTATTTACAACGAATATATTGACTGGTTCTAGTCATACCATAGGCTCTTGTTTTGCTAACATCACGAATCCAGCCTAAGAAATGATCTGGCAGACCTTCCCAGCATTTGAAACAATAATTTGGTCTGGATTCAGATTTCAGTTTAATCAGTGAGCGCCTTTCTGTCAAGTTCATTTGCAGAGACCCTTAGTTCCTGCATCAGCAACAACTGATATTGCAGAAATTCTAGATAAATTTAAATAAGACTGGGAAAAATCAGAGCATCATGATGGGAGTAATTACTGATGTAAAGAATGATCTATGTCAAAGAAAAACAATGGGAGACAGTGACTGGCAGGAGTGCCGGGAAGGGAATGAAATGACAGCGGGGAACTATGAAGGGAGCACTCCGTTGCTGTTGAGCCAATGAATCACACATTGCTCTGAACTATGTTTCTGCAACGCCCATGCTGCTAGGCAGTGCTCTTTGCTACAGCAGATGCATGACTGAGAATGGAGATTCATCTCACTGATGTCCTGAATGAGACAGAAAATGTGCTGCTGTCTAAATAAGCATCCTATAACATCTCTGTCATTTCTGATGAGGTTGTCTAAATGTATTGCCTCTCTGATACATCCTCCAGTCCTCCTGTGCGTTCCTTGGGGTAGAGACAAGTTGAGGAAGGAAATATGAGTGTAACCAACCCATGAAGCAACTGGTCCCTGGAGCGATGCGCCTGTTCTCTTTCTGAGCAGAGCGCTGCCTGGCTGCCTGTTGTATTCCAACCAGCGTGAAGCCTTTCCCATGGTTTGTTATCGTCAGACACAAGCATGCCACCTGTGCAGGCTGTATGACTCCCAAGCACAGAGGAGGTCCCTGTGGTCCTTAGAGGACAGAGAATAGTCCTTCCACTTTTGTCAGGGCAACGGCCATATTTGGTTTCCTCGCTACCCTTATGTGCAAGCTGGCTGCAAAGGATGTAAGGGGTGAGCTGCCAGCTATGCCTCGAGAAGCTTCTGTTGGAGTGGTGTATCTCTGCTGCAGCCCAGTATGAGGCTGGGCTGACAGGTGCACAGGAGCCTGCAGAGAATTATGTGGAACCAACCATCATGATTAAAAACCTCCTTTATATCTTGTCGAGCTGCACTTGTATTCAAAAGACTTTTTTCCCATCAGAGCAATAAGTCTGCACTCACACAAGTCGTTCCACAGGAAGCAGCTCATGGCTTAGACATGAGTAAAAATCATGGCTCAATTGCATGTGTGGGGGCCCATTTGCAGGACTGAGTCTTTAAGCTTCCTTTCCTGAAAACCCTTCAGCAGACACCAAGCTTCCACGTCTCCCCAAAGTTACTTGCAGAGCTATGTGCTACAGTGAAATGACAAATTAAGCTCTTAGTGACTAGTTAATTTTTGCTTTCTGAAACTAAGGGGAGAGAATGAAGACGGGTGAGGAAGGAAAGAAAAAGAAATACTTAATAGAAAAAGTTTCATGATATGGCGCACATCTGTATTAAACATGATGTCTTTAACCAGCCTCTCTGGAAATAAGATATTTAAAAGGTCAGATTAACTAAGACACAAGGATAATGTGGTCTTTTCTCACTGAGTTCACAGCTCTATTTGTGGAAACTCTGATCTGAGGGGGAAGAAGGTGCCAACTTTAACTTTCCTCTATTTAGCCTGGCAGTGGCTTTGGACAGCCATTTTCCACCATGACCCTTTCTCATGTTTCCATCCCACTCAGAATACTCTTCTTTGGTTGCATGCATTTTTTTAAATAAAAGTGAAATATTTTGACTCAGACATACTTTTTAGCAGGAAGCAGGTTTTGTTCTGTATTTCACACCTCCTCTCTCGTCTTACCTAATAGGTTTTTACAGAGCCAATTATGGTACATAATGATATTGTAGTCAGGAAGCATGAAAAGAAAGATAGCTTTTGCTTCACACAATATTCAGGTTTGAAAAGAATTTGTGTTGATTATGCATCACTGAATAGGAAAACTCAAGGGGTTATTTGTATTTATAATTCATATTGTCTTATTCCAGCTGTTTTTTCTTTCATGGTCAGAGAACTACGGATTTGTGAACATGAATGTGTGACCTTAACATCTTACCTTAATCACCCTCGCTAAAACAGTGGTTAACTGAAAACATGGCAACATAAAGTACTTATTTTTCTTAAATTCTGTCTGTGAAATTGTGTAGTCCAGGTTTTGGCAAGCAAGGAGTTAGCATTGATGTAGTGAAAAAAATGCAGAGATGCAAGTGTAAAACTTCCAGAGGTCAGGAATGGACAGTGTTGGGCGTGCACAATGGTGACGTGTTTATGGTATGTTTTATGGCTTGTATTTATGGTATGTTTTGGCCTAGTCACAGCGAAGAAAACCCATGCAAGTGTCCTTACAGCCAACCAGATTTCTAGAGGACCTGATCCTGAAACAACAGGAAATATCTCAGTTCTTCACAGATCACAGTGAGAGCTACAGCAGGCCAAGAGTCATCACGGCATGTAAATTGGAGGCAGCCTAGATTCACTGAGTGAGTGCCTCGGAAGTCCGTGAGCCTGATGGACTTGTGTGATACCCACCAGCCACTGGACAATGTAAAATTACTTTATACTTTCAGGTGTCTTTGAAATAGGAGGTCTTTGAAATGTGTCTTTTATGAGACCTCTGTGTAACAGACATAAGATTACCTCTCTAATGGTGGCACATGTACTTCTATTGTGAAAATCAGACAAAGCAGGCAAATGACACCAAACTACATAAGGTAAATACTGTAAGCAGCTGTAATAGAACAATCACAAGCAATTTTAGAAGTGAAGAGCACTAAAAGGAAAGGGGTAAGTCAGAGGATGCGCGCAGGGAAAATGCAAAGCTGTGGATCATTTTCAGTCCTGTTATCTCTCATAATGTCTTTGCTCTTGAGTTCCCAAAACACATTCTCCACATTTGGCAAAAAAAAAAAAAAAAAAAAAAAAAAAAAAAAAAAAAAAAAAAAAAAAAAAAAAAATGGGTTTTTTTTTTGTTCTTTTATGATGAAAGGTTGGAGAATAATAAAATTGTAAGGGAAGCAAGTTAAAAAAAGGAGAAAGAAAAATAATATAATTTTTGGCAATAGTTTCTAATTTATCGTGTAAGATTTCTAAAAAACCCCACACCTCCGCACTGTAATATCTCCTCAGATAACTTTATTCATTGATTTTTGCAGTTTCACAAGCAAGAGGAGATATTGCAATCTTGTATTTGCTTCAATAATTGAGTGGGAGAGAGGAAAGCAGTTAGTGAAATATATTTATTTATGCACTATTCCTCAATCTTCTGGCTGCTCTTTCATGTTTTTCTCCTTTTGGTCATTATGCACAGTAGAGTTAACCTAGAGAGTCTGCATCATCAAGAGCTTTTCAGAACTATAATGCATCACTAATAATGACACTGCCTATGTCTCTGGGTCATAAGGGCTCTGCAGAACTAGCCATCCGATACTCCACGCTACATTTGAAGAGATAATATTGTTCCTGTTGAAGGTTATTTTGCTGCCAAGCCAACTTCCAGGGAGGATGGGAAAGGAGAGGTGGTAGGCGGTATCTTCATTTTGACTGGCATCTTTACTGTTGAATTACAAGGGGCAGAACATTATTGAAAAGCTATGATATTGAAAGAAAGAATTTGCAATCTCTGTAGCACAGCAAACTTCTGATTCAACTGATGGCTCTGACACAGGAAGTTACTGTCTTCAGAAATGTTTAGTAAACATCAGATTGCTACCAATGCATTTTCAACAATACAGGTAGGACTTAATTTTTAGTTTTCTGCATTTTGATCTCTAACCCCTGTTTGACCTGCTTATGTAGAGTACATTTTTGCTGTCCATCTACAATTGACTGCTGAGGTTACAAGGATTGACCTCCATAATTCCTGGCACACTTGAAAGTGAAAAATTTTAAATCAGAAGCAATAGGTATGAACCCAGGAGCCAGAGCCACGGCACTTTTGTCCAAGGTCAGCTACTACATCAAATACAATGTAGGGCAGTCTCCTCTTGCAAGCAAGATGGTATTTTCATACACTTATTGAATCCACAACAGAGGACTGGGAACTCTTCTGCTGGGATTTTTAGGTTTGTGTTCTTGACTTTAAAATAATAAACTTGTAGTTAACAACAGAAATCACTCCTTCCTCTCTTACGTGAAAATACATAGGTATGTATCTTTAAACCTTCATAAAAGAAGCCTACTTGAGGGAAACCTGCCATGATCTCTCTGTTGCCGCTGAACCCTCCCTGGCAGCTCATAGGATTCACAATATCAATAGACTTTACTGGTGTGTAACACCACACTGTGAAGGGAAGCATCATTAGTGCAAAAAAGTACAGGACTCAAAGTGAAGATGGAAAATTTGTGAAAGGTGATTGCCATTGTCTTTAGCTGTTCCAGAATGAAGATACTCTACTTTGCCAACATTATCTGAACTAACTGTAAAGTCCATGCATATATAGTACAGCTCTTATCAATTAGGGAATTTATCCAAATGACCTAATGACCTGACTTAGATGATACTCAGACTCCAATGCTCTCTGTCCAAGCTAACAAATAAATCCATGCAGCAAAAAACATGAGCAACTCGTGGCAGAAATGGATGTAAGCACATGTCTTCCTGAGTGAGTACCAGACTATACCTTAGCTTTAGGCATGGGAGAAGTCCAAATTATGGCAATAGACACAGTTTTCAAAGCAAAACCAGGGAGTTTGATTCTGTGGGGGATTGCTTGGGGCTGTGACTCTTCTTAGAGGCAGGGTATCTGCTTATTTCACACTGTGCAATCAACAGCTCTGGGGCCTCGTGCTGCCTGAGAAGGAATTTGACCAACATGCTCATAACTGCTTCAAAACACTGAATCTGGGGCTGGGATTCATTCTACAAGATTGTTGCCGTGGCTGAAATCCATATGTTGGGGACCATCACCATCAGCTCCTTCTGCTGCAGACACTGGGGAGAGGTATACACCTGCAGAAGGGTGCTGCAACGAGTCTGTGCATATGGCAGCATTGCACAATGACATCCTCAGGAATCATATGTCCTGCTAGAGCTACACCCTAGATTTGCAAGTATCTGTGTCTAGTGACAATTTGCGTTCATGCTGTGGCATAGTGTGGTTGGAAAAATCAAAGATCAGGGACAGGCAGAGTTCTGTAACATCGTGAAAGGCAGGCAGGCAGGCAGTGAACAGGGAATGATTATCCACTGTTTCATGCAATCCAAGCACTACAGACAGCAGGCTTGAAGCAATAAAAGGGTGCACTTTTTGACAAGACTGAAACACTCCCTGTTCCTGGCTGTTGTTGAGATCAGAAGTATCACCGGGCTCCAAAGAGGACTAGACAGGTCTGTTGATGTCTAAGAAATACGATGTTTCTGGTACAAACTCCAGCTGAGTAAATTTTTTGCTGGGTGCTGAAAAGATATATCGAGGCGAGGATCCCCATTTGAATGTCTTTTTTCTTACTGCGTCACTAACACAGTGTTGAAGACCATGTATAGCGCTAAACTTAATATTTCCAATCCCGTGTGATGTTTCTTACATTGTTAGCTACAACCGACTTCTGGGAATGAATAGGGTGGTTCTTTTCTTGCATATTCAAGATAAAGCCCTCATTAGAGCCTGATGATTTCTTTACCCAAAATTCCATTCCAAAGGTGCATAGTGCCTTAGATACATTTTTCTAGTATTAGTTCACGGATCGTAAACCACAATAGTAGTGTCTATATGCTAATGATCACCAGATGAAAATGCATGTGTAGTTAACCTGGCATGGCACCCTTTGTAAAGAAGGCATAAAGGAATGTGAAACAGGTTTGGTACCTGTTTCAGCTAGTGGGAACTCTGCCTATCGATACGGCACAGTCTGGGAAGGGGCACTCTCACAGGATGCTCAGGGAGTAGAAAACTACAGGGATAAGCAAACCACTTCTCTACCTTGGCAGCATTTTCCTAGGCTCTTGTTAAATTGTTAACACAGAAGAAGATTCCTCTGCTTGTTCAAAGCAAGTCACTGAAGCTCTTTAAAATGCCAAATTGCTAAACAGGTGCGTGTATGCTATAGACATTAGTGGGATGTATACCACTATACTAGAAGTAAACACTGAAATATGGCTGATTTTAAAGTAATTCATCTTTTATTTTTTTTTTTTATTTTTTTTTAAGATTCTAATAGTAACACCCAAAATGTGTTGTATGTGCCAAGAAACAAATTGCTGCCTTATCGCTGGAGTGTGTGTTTGACCCAAGAGATGACTAGGCAGGATGACCCTGAAGACAGTGAAATTTGCTATTTCTCTCTCAGAAAACACAGCTTACTCTGTCCATGTGAGCTATTTTAAAGCCTGCGCAGGCACGAAGCAGTCCTGGCGTTACAGAAGCAATAAGAAAATGGTGTTACAGTGTTTGGCTTGCACAACCTTCCCACATTACCTAAAAATAACTAAGTAGCACATTGGGGAAACATTACGCAGGAGGTGCCTGAACAAGTTCATCGTGTGCATAATATGTTTCCTGTGTGTACTGCTCGTATCTCTTCCTGAAAATGTATCCTCCCTGGGATCAATTTTGAAGGATTTTCAGGGGTTTTTTTTGCCTTTGCTAAGATATGTAAAAATCTGTCAGTCCCTGTGCAGCAGAACGGTGTGATGTCCATGTGATACTCAGCAGCAGAAAATAGAGGGCTGTGCTCCTTCACTCCTTCGACAGCTATTCCCCTTGGTGCTGCACCATGATCAAACCAAGGCAGATTAGCAACAACAGGGAAAAAAAGGCCGATTCCTCCCACACACTGGCTCTAATAGGGCAACATGTCAGTGTGTGTCTGGCTGGAAAAGAAACCCATCTGGTAGGTGATACTAAAACTGGAAGAGTTGCTCATTTGGTTCAGAAAGCTTCCCTCCTTTTTTTTTAATGATTCAAGATGCATTACAGTAAGCAGGGCTGGATAACACACAATAATTGCTTCTAGGTGATAAATAGGAGGGCTTACTGAGGGCTGTTCAGTCCTAACTGCACACTTCCAGACTTCTTGGAGTTTTGAAGACTTCACAACTCCTTCAAACCCAGCAGCACTTTCCTCCAGCTCTTCAGTCATGTGTTCAGGGAGTGTCAGTGACTTTGTTCAAGTGTAAGGGGCCAAGAGAATCTGGTAGCTAATTTTTGGATGACATCTAGGTTATTTAAGCCTGGTTAATCATCTGTTCTCAATTGGATTTTCTTTCTCTCTTTCTTTCTCTCTTCCTTTCTCTCTTCCTTTCTCTCTCTTTTTCTCTCTCTCTTTCTCTCTCTCTTTCTCTCTTTCTCTCTCTCTTTCTTTCTCTCTTTCTTTCTCTCTTTCTTTCTATTTCTTTCTTTCTTTCTTTCTTTCTTTCTTTCTTTCTTTCTTTCTTTCTTTCTTTCTTTCTTTCTTTCTTTCTTTCTTTCTTTCTCTCTTTCTCTCTTTCTCTCTTTCTCTCTTTCTCTCTTCCTTTCTCTCTGCCTGCCTGCCTGCCTGCCTTTATTTTTGTCCTCCAGGTCATATCACAGAAGTAAAAGAGAAAACAGTTTAAGTAGGTGTCTTGATCCTGCAGTCTTTACTTTTGCAGTCCTTTTATAATCAAGGGAAAAAAACCCAGGAGGAAGACACAGCACCAAAATGTCCTGTTTTTTAGGGATTGTGAGAAAAGCAAGTGAGCAAAATAAGGTAATATAAACAGGAAAGGAAAAGGAGCTCCACAGTCCTGTAAACCTGAGTGTAAATATCTCTTTTTTGGTAAGAAGTTTTTCCTTTGTGTTTGTGACACACCATTTACAGCCCTGGCATGCCAGGATCTGCACAGAGAAAAGTGGGAAGGTGAGCTGAGATTAACCCCTCCTTTGCTGGAGATTGGAGAACATGTTTGCACAGAGCATCAGGGGATTTTGCATTTTGTTAGGACTGAGCTTATGGCCTGCCAATATTTGCGAATCCACCTCCTTTCCACAATTGCCCCTACTCTGTAGAGATTTTGTCTTTAAAATTTATTATTCATCTGTCTATAAGGAAAAGAGACTACTTACTTAAATTGTCTTCATCCTCCATTGTGGTTGTGCCAGGACTCAGATACTTGAAGGGAGCTATGAAGGTTGACAGTATGCTTACTTTTTCTAGAAGAAAACAGAAGAAAAGAGACATATAAAATCAGTATTTTGTTAGTGCATTCTGATCTACTCCACACTTTTTCTCAGGTGAAAATGTCTCATCAAGTCTGTTTCTTTTTTATTTTTCCTGACTCTACAGCCCCACTAAAAACCACAGAACTGTAATACATTTATTACAGCTGGTAATGTGCAAATACCAGACGCACTTCCCTCCTGGTCTCTGCCCCTGTGTAGTGCATCTCGGCCATCCTTCCTAGCAATGGTGCTTGAGCACTGCAGAGCTGCGAATGTGTGAGGCTTGAGCTGATCCAGCTGGGAATGTGGGAGGAGGGTGTGAGAAGGAGGCGGTCAGCCCTGGGAGAAGGGGTATGAGAACTGCTCTCATGGATGAGACCATCAGCTCGCCTCTTGTTTCCTTTTCCTGACAGAGGCTGAAGCAGAAGTCTCAGAGAAAGCTCAAGTGTTGACGGTGCAAGAGATTACTACTGCTTCCAATTCTTCTAGAAATTATTGATTTGATTTTTGGAAAACCTTTTTGGTGTGCACAGGAGGCTACTATCCAAACAATAAGAATCCTTTTTGAAATCCTTCTTATTTACATTCGTATTAAGTGTATTTCCTTCTACTTGCAGTTTCTGTTTATCCTACAGATAGTAGATGGCACAGAAATTTACTTTCAGTGCCATGATCAGCCTCTGCATTAGATGCCAGGACAGATTCAGCAAAATGAGAACTGATACTGATTTATATTAGCTCAAAATTTGTCTCAGGATTTATCCATAGGGAAAAGTTGTTGCTAATACGAACACTAGAAACAGGGATACATTGAAGATATGTGTTTTATTTTGTTAAATATTTTAGTTTGTTGTTCACTTTGTTTAGGCTGAATTCCTCCTGACAAACTATGGGGACTTTGCTAAGGACCTACATCAACAGGGCGTCTACCTTAGGTAGCAGAAGAAACAGAAACACACCTCACAAAAGTGATTCATAACTTTGAACGACTTAGTTGCTTTCCTAAAGTACTTCCCTGTTTAGAAACCAGTTAGGTGGAAATGCTCTGAATCCTGCATGTTGTGAATAACGCTGGGCTTTCATCTAGTGGCAGAAACAGCAAAAACCAAAACAAGGATGTCTTCTCTCAAGTAACACAGGAAAAATGAATCCATGGGGACTTTCTTTATTGGTAGGAAAGTATGTCTCTGAATTTTCTTAAACTACCTGGCTGCTAATCTACATTGGTCTGGAAGACATTCCAGCTGAATAGCTCTTAAACTTTTTCAGCAGCACAGCTTTTAGCTCTTTGGACTGGTTCTTCCTACATTTGCAAATAATCCTTGCTCTTGTTAAAGACTGTTATCAGACTCCATCAAAAATGACTGCAGAGGTTTGCCCTTAGCTAGGCAACACTACAGCTCAACTCTATTATGAAAAAGCACAGTAAAAGCTGACTGCTCTTTGTTAAGTAAATACAATAAGCAGAGTAAAAGATTGCCTGAAAAAAACCTTTTTCCATCCAGAAACCTTTTAGCCCAGACTAATATATAATTAGAGCACAAATTAGCCCTCTTGAATTGCAGTTTCATTAAGGGATTGTAGTGATGTCATGAACCTAAAGAATGAAGCTGTTTATGAATGCTTTAGCCGAAAGATTTTCCTAAATGAATACTTCGACACTTTTTTGCTAAGGTGTTGCTCACTGACAAATCTGGTATCTCTATGTGACACTACCTCAGTGCATGTGAGACTGTTGGGCTGTGATCAGGATAAAGGCTGTTATTCACTCCAAACTTTCTCATCTGGTTTCTTTGATTAAAGTGAAAAGAGCATAGGCTTTTGGGACCTAAACCAAAGGCTACATTTGGTAAGGGTAATGCTTCAGATGACAGATGTAAGACCAGGGCAGTCCTTGGCTTCAGCGCCAGCAATGACTGTTGTGTCTGGATACTGAGATGCAGTAAGCTGAAGTGTACTCCACCTGTGCCTGACTGCTGACCCTCAAGACACTGGATGTCGTACACAAACTTACAGCTGAGAAAATATTCTCACTTCTCATAAAGAGTTAATCCAGTAGCCAAGCAATGAGGACATGCACTTTCTTGCCAAGATTCCTCATGCCTACTCCTGCCACTCATCAAAAAGCAAACCCATGTAGTTTTATGCTATACTATTATTAGGTAAAGGAATATTCTATGATTTACTTTTCACCCCAACCAATTTTGTGCGATCGATAGGTGAGATTTAAAATTTAACAAATTATTTTCCATTTTGCCTTAAGGGACCCTTTAGCCATCTTAAGCTTTTGTTGTTGCTGTTTCCCACCTGTCCCCAAAGACCTTGCTGGTGCCTTTGCTTTGTGTGGCAGAGAAACAGGATGGCCTGTAAAATTTATTGCACTCTTAGAGCAGCAATGGATGAGTTTGTGACAACCCAAATTCAGGCAGGCCCTAATAACAGGATATCCTTCAATCAATAGAGATGATAAAAATTATAATTTAATATTTCAATCCATTGGCTGAGCAACGGAAGATTTAGTGTGTGTCTGGAAGGAGGAGGAGGGCAGTTTTTTTGAGTGAGTGAGGTAGGAAAAGAAGAGCCGTAGCATGCATGTAGCACAGATGAATTGTCAAGTCTATGGAGGAGGGTGAAGACAGAAGACAGGATAATTAATTGTAGATATTTACAGGGAAATAATCCAGCTAGGTATAAAGCTACTGATATGATTGTACACTTCCATCTTTTGCACATTATCGTGTATATACGTATTGCCTATTACCGTATATATACCATAAGACACTACTTCAGCTATACTGTCAGTGGTGAAATTCTGTGTTTTATTTACCATTTCATACAGGATTAGGAGAGTTGTGTATTCATATTTTCCTGTCCTTGTGTATTTTAATGTCCATCACAATCAGTCTCATTTCCTGCAGCTTGATGAAATCTTATGAATAAAGGACACAGCCGGATAGGAAAAAAACATAGAGAGGAATATCTCTAAAGACTCCTTTTTTCTCTCACTTCCTTCTCCTTTTACATTATTTTTTTCCCAAAAGAAACAAAGCCCAAAATTAAAGCTGCTATTTTTACTTTTTAATTGTAAATGTTCCCTGCATTTGTCTGAGGAAATTACTTTCCAAGGCTAGGAGAGAGAGTCTAGGAGACGAAAACAAGACATTTCAAAAACTCTTTTCTCCAGAAAGGCAGAACACATAACCCTACATTTATGAGAACCAATACAAGGAGTTTGCATTACAATTGTACCAAAAGCCTCCAATGACATGAAGGAGTAATTTTGTGAGGGCCTACAAGGACACAAAGGAAGCTGTATTTACAATGGAAATTGAGAGATAAAGAGCAGGTATAGTGGGATTTATTTCTAGCCACCCTGCAACACTAATGCAGGATGATAGCATCATACTTTGCAGTGTATTCAGTATAAAAACATCCTTCCAAGTGATGCCAAGTGGAACTCTGCTCCAGTACCCTGAGTGCAAAAATCACTATTTCTCTTCATGAGAAGGCTGTTACAGGAAGAAACCTCACTCTCCTCTGTTTTGGGATGGAAAAGGTTTTCATTTCACGCTTCCTAAGTATACATTTTCCAATAACAGCAAATAGTTAAAAAAGAATCGTGAAACTGTTTTGATGGTAGCCACATAAATAATTTAAACAAATGAAAATACCATCGGCCAAGATATTTTGCAGGAAAGACAAAAAATTATTTAGTCCAAACGATTCAGCAAAGCCTAGCATATAAAGCAGCCAAGTTTCCACTAAGATCTGCTCTTTTTGTGAAGGTGCTTTTGTGCTGTGGATGCAGACAGAAGACTGGCCACAGGTCCAGTAAATATGCTTTTATTGTGAGGACAAGAATACACATATATAACTATAAACAGCATTCGTGCCCTTCATACCTATCAGTATTTAAAGGGCACCAGACAATACATCTTGATCATCAGACATACTGAAGTTCTTTCACTCTCAATCACCTGAATAAAAGCAATGGGAACAGCAGGAGCTCAACACTTTTAAAAATCAGGCCTTATACATGTTGGACAAATTGTTTAGCTTTAAGAAGAGCAGACTGAGAGGGGTCATAACAACAGTCTTCAAATACATAAAAAGCTGCTGCAGAGAAGAAAGGAGCAAACTGTGCATTAACACAACTAGAAGTAATGGACTTAAATTGCACCAAGGAAAATTCACTTTAAACATTAAAAGACCTTACTAACAGGAAGGATAGTGCAGCACTGGAATAGATTGTCTGGTGGGGAGGCTGAGGAGCTCTTGGTGCTGAAGGGCTCAAGGAAGATGGTTGGCATCGTCAGGGTGTTGCACCCATCATTGGGCCCATCCCTTCTAGTTTCTCTCTTACCCCTGTGGACCCCAGGATAGAAAAGTAGAAAAACTCGTCCTGTCCTTGAGATCACACAGCAGGTTCTAGCTCAAACTTGGAAAAGTGAGTAGTATTTGCTAATATTATCTAATCACTAAGCAGAAGCTTGTGGCATGCTCTTTTGCTTGGCAGTTAATGAGGACTATTAATAATTGTTTTTTAAAATGCAACTTCTGAACACAAGAAGGGTTAGACAGATGGCTACCAGAGGTTTGCCAGATCAGTGTTAGCAATGTTTTACTGAATTAGGCTCATTCTCATATTCTAATTGATTACTGTAAGCTACTTTACTTGTCAGAGTTTTCTTTAATAGTATTCATTTAAAAACACAATGTAGACATTATAAACCCATCTTAAATAATTTGTTTGGTTTCCATGGAGTATGAAACGACTCAGGAAGGGTCAATTCTGACGCAATAACGTAAATTCAGCTGCAAAACCTCTTGAAAAAAGTCTTATTTTTGCTTCTCTAAAGCAGTATCACAGCTACTCAAATAGATAGATTTTTACAGTTGTGTTAGCCTTGACTTCTTTTGAAAGGGGGGGATACAGGCAAGGAAGAGAGTCTGCACATCAGGAGATGATTCTCTATCGTTCTTCTCACATC